TCTCGTGGCATATATTCCAAGCATTCTGAAGGTATACTGAGGGTTTGGTGAGAAACAAACCGAAATGGCAAGTTATTATATTTTATGAAAATCTTGCGTTGCAGCTCACGCTGCGCACAAGTGCATATCATTTTGAGATATCAATTTTAATAAAACACAAGACTACATTATATAACTCTAACAGTAGGCTATTTAATATCTGTTGTTCTCTGGTTGTCAGTCAAAATGACAGTTCTTGCAACACAGGCCTATATATACCCAAGCCAATTATTATTCTTTACTTTATTTCTTAGTGTTTAAAATATTTATTTTGAAACAAATTAATTATTTAATTTCTTAATTAAACAAACAGACTTACTGGGTGAGCAGGGTAGGCTAGGACAGCTGTCATATCATACCCTGCCATGCCCAGCTGATGCAAAGAATAAAATTTATGTCTACACAGAAGAAAGCCCTGTCTAGACTCTGCCCCGGTACGAGTTGTGTCGAGCTATTCATTAGCCTGTTTGTTTGATGAAAAAAGATTAAATGTAGTTGCAATAAATGTGTTAAGAATCCATACAACTGCAGCAGCTGAGGACTATTATTCTGCTGCATGATGCTGCAGAAGAACTGGGGCAAGTTCAAGCTCAAACCGGTTTGCACCGTTTTGCTACGGTTTCCGGTTTGAACGACATGTTTCCTGGAAACGGTGTGCAACGGTGTGCAACGGGGTTTGAGATGCCTTTTCTCTTGTTTGGTGGGTGTGTCAAACATGTCAGCCCAATCAGCAGCAACATGTATGTAAACCGCGTATTAAAGAGACAGCTCGCACAATGTAATTAACATCCAAATAAATTCACAAGAGCAAGAATATTGTTTGCACATGTTTATTTACATTAAAGGCAAAATAACTGAAATAATAAGGGCACAAGTATAGATCTGGAATCTTTAAGTCTGTCTAAATATCATTTAGTAATTGCAATGTCTTCTGGTCCATATCCTTTCCTTAGGAAGGTGTGCTAAATAATGATTAATGTAACATAATAATACTATACATATTTATATATTTTGCTATTGTATTATGGAGTGACAATTTCATAAACTTTTCTATACCCCTCTGATTATATAATAGTAAATATTACAATATCATAGCACAACAACAGTGATCAGCAATAATGATAAGCCTAATACTCACAAAAATAATAAGGTCATATAGATCATAACACAGTCTTGGAGGGAAGAAGTGGATTATCCTTCACCTGAAATGTTTCTTTTCATCCTGAAATGCGAAGCAAATGTTGGATCACAATAATTAGGAACCACAGTTTCCACAAATCCCTTCATTTGATTGGAATGTTCTCTTTTATTCTGGAGGGCAAGGGCAATGACTGTACCACTGAGCGTATTTTTCAGTATTAAACATGTATTTATAACGATTTCATCAGGCTCCGCAAATTCTTCAAAAAGAAAACAAAGAATGGCCTTCTCAGCTGCCATAGTTGCAACTCTTGCATCATCAGAACAGGGTGTTCAACGCACCACCGTTTCCGTTTAAAAAACGTTTTGCACCGTTTTTGTCGGGGCTGAACGCAGCCCTGATGATGGCACGGTTTGATCTTCGGCTGACCAATCAGCAGAAAGGGGCGTTTAATTCCCGCCCACATGTAGAAATCGAATATTCAAGCTGTTTATTCATTTTTCCACCCATGAACGAAAAACGAAAATTTAAGCTGAATTCTCGTTTCTCGTTTTTTGGAAAAAAACGAAAAAGGAGCCATTTTCTCATTTTTCTACTTTCAATATTAAATCAAAAAACAAATGATCGAATGATACACGGATTTCCACTGATTGGTCAACCAAACATTTCATAGTCCTAAAAAAAACATAAGAGTCCTCCGCTTCTATGGATTCTTAACGTGTTTATTTCTACTACATTTTATCTCTTTCTCTTCATCAAACAGCCAGATTAACGAATGGCTTGACACAAACCGTATCTAGGCAGAGCCTAGACTTTCTTTTGTGTAGGCATAAATTCTGCAACCTACACCTGAAATATTAGTTTATCTCATAGATATTAATTTATTAATATTAAGCTTTACTTCTCTAAGATATACACAAACAGACATATTAAACTCAACAATGGTCTAGTCACTTTTGGGAAATTCAGTGTCTCCAAGTGTAGGCATATATGCATATTAGAGTTAATCATAAATGTATAAATTGTACATTTTTGACAGATTTTGATATAAATTTGCTAACTATTTTCACTGTCTGTTTTGTTTAGGTGTTGACCCCAATGCTGACTACCCTACTCTGTATCGGTACTTTGTAGAGGTGTGGATTTATCTTGGTCTGGCATGGCTGTCTTTGTTTTTCAATTGGAAGGTACGCATGGTTGTGGAGGCTCACAAAGCTCTAAAGAAACGCCGTAAAAGGCGCAAACTTTCTCTGGATGAGTTACAGCGCATCAAGGCAAGTCACAAGACCCTACATCTGCCACCAACTCCCAATGATGTCAACATCTTTAGCTTCCTGTCCAAGAAAAAAGAAGATTACAATGACTTAATCAAGCAGATAGGTGTTGAGAAGGAAGGAGAAGATCAATGTGTCAGCTTCATCTCTGGAAGCAAGAATAAAGCACCAAACCGCTCAAAGAGCTGCAGTGATAGTCATTCCATTAATGGAAATTACATTATCAGTCTAGACCGCTCACCTCGACAAAAACGCCACTATAGCTTCAGTGATAGAGTTAATGTAGCTCTCTCAAAATCCAAGAGTTACCTTCTTAGCCAAGAGGAATGTCTTCTCATGAATGAAATGCATGGGGAAGGAGAGACAGACACTGACCTAGACTGTATAAGAATGTATGAGAATCAGTTGGACAAGGAGGCAGGAGAGAAACACAAATGTCTAGAACATGGAGGATGCAGCGATGGCCGGATCACATGGGACTCCAAAAGTTACCAGACCCTCATGTTTCCCAATGCCAACATTACCTTTATTGATGAAGAGAATTTGCTAAACAACAACCTGGAGAATGATGATAATGACTTTATGCCTAAGTTTTCAACTGCTGATGAGACCGATTTCAAAGAGGAACAAGGCTCGGAATCTGAGACCTCCGTATTCACCACAGAAGGGTCGGACCATGGCCACTCCTATGAACAGCTGGTGGAAGAGTATTCCAAAGAGGACAACACTGACATTTGATTCTGTCTCCTTTCTTAAACCTCAATAAAGTTTTTGTTTCATGAAAAACCCGAAATGATGCTGAAACCTATAGAAATATAAGGTTTTATACACAGCTCTTTTCCCAATCACTCCTTTCAGATGTGATTTTTTTTTGGCAAGTGATACGACAGATGTGTCTAAACTGGATCATTAACAATGCATATTCACTGCATGTTTTTTCCACCATATTGGTGGATTTGTTTTTCTTTCTTTTTTAGATAGAAAAAAATACTGTCAATTTTTCAAAGCTTAATCCTTATTGGATGTTAAACATATTTTTATTGTCTTCCATTTTAACCCAAGATATTTTGGGGGGGTGGGGGGGTAACCATGTTGACCTTTTAGATTTTAACTTTTTTTTTTTTTAAATGTTATGTCATTATTTGACTTTTTAATATTGCGATTTTTATTCCAAGTCTCTTTTTTATGCAGGCATTGTTTTAATGTCCCTAAATTGTGTTAACTCATTTCCAAATATAATCTCAATATTTATGATCTTCTGAACTGTCAATACGATGATAATCCACACTGAAAAACTCTTTGGGCTTTCCTCTGTGTCCCTGTCAATTCAAGAAAATGGGAGTTGAATCGGCCCAAGATAACAGGAAATCAGCCAAGATAACAGGAAATTATTACAGTGTTCATTTTACTAACATAGTAATGACTGTTTTGGTGTCTGACTCATGTGTTGACATTATGCTGGTTTTATGTTGACAAAACCAACATACAAAATTATAATCAAAACCATTATAATACCCCGGGGGGGTCCAAGTTGTGGTTCCCTTCACTAAGCTTTAGCAGTGTGCTTTCTCACATGGTCTTCTTGCATCATGCCTTTTGTGTGTAGAGAGTTGCATCCTGAGTCAGTTTCCTCTTACAGATGTAGTTGTATTTTATAAAACTGCCCTCATTTTTATTTATCTTTTGGATTACTTTCTTTTTCTTTCTTTCTTTCTTTCTTTCTAAATGAAAGTTGATTGAACTTACAAATGCATTCTAATTTGCTACTGAATGTATTTTAGTAATCATTGGTTTGTGCATCACATGAATACATTTTGCACCAATTTACCTTTCTTTTAATGATCTTTAGTTTTGTCTTTTGTTCAATCATTCTCCAGTGTACACTTGACCAAGTATAAGGTTCCTTGTTGTGAGCCTCTGTTGTTGATCTGTGCTACATTTGGTTGAATGTTTCATTTCAGTTGAACTTTTGCTGTGTCAGTCTCAGTTGTGTACATAGAGGGTTTTCATGAGCTCAAACTTTGAGCAAAATAGAGGCCCACCCCCATTTTCTTGATTACGCTTGTTCAGAGATCTCTTTAACTCTCTTGAGAGAACGGTGTTTCTTAGGTAAACATTGGAAAATGGCCTGTTAGCAGCTGCCACTGTTAATCTTCCTTATATTCTTTTGTAGCCTCTTTTTAATTAGCTATGAACTAAATTTCACAAATGATTAAAACCAGAATTTGCATTACTGGGCAAGGTTAACTAACCTTAGGTTAACCTGTCAAGTCATGGTTTTGTGCTTTGTTCGTGTTGCAATCTTTCATCCCATTCTTTCATAAAGAAAGCACAAACATTTTACCTAAATGATGTAAAGGGTAGAGTGGTTTTGATAGTTTTTCACATTGTTTTGATTTTGAATTTCCTGTACTTTGTCATGCTGTATTTCCATATGTATTTTAATTATTTTCTGTTAGTGCCTTTACGCTGTTCCAATTAACATTTTCATTTTGAAATAAACATGATTCCTGTCTTTTTCTATCTCATCTTTGAGCAGTGGTTTTAGAAAGATACTTGGCCTTCAAAAGTTCAAAGCTAAATTTCTTCTGAAGCAATTGTGAAATAATAGACACCTTATTTTGTCAAAATGGTAGTTTTGTATTTGAGTTTAAATTATATGTAAATTATATTATAAATTATATAAATCTGTTTGTTTATTAAAACTGCAGTATATTAACTTTAAAGTATTAATAAAGTCTCATAAAGTCAAATTTTGTCAATTTCAGTATACCATTTAAGCAGTAATGATACTAAAAACATGTCTATCTTGCATGATGAGCCATATGCTCTTCTTTTTTTATGGCATTGTGAAGTTACAAACCTTTGTTTGTTCCACGTCATTACATGCTCACAGTTGTTCTCTGTGTGAATTATATTTCTAAAACACAAAGGCCACTCATTCAGACTTGATTTTGGGCATAAGGACAGGATGTGAAAATAGGGACATGTGTCTGTTTGTGTGATACAGCATCTAAGGAGTCGATCACTACCTTTCAATCCAGGAAAAGTGCTAGGTTGACAGTATTCTGAATTTGAATCTTATTACTAATATGCTGAAAAAACTCAGATTAGAGCTTGCATCCCAGCAATACAGTGTGAGGCTTCTAGAATTTTGTTCACATGTGCCCAACTGGATAACATGAACTCCTTGTGATTTAAATACACTTCTTTGAGCCCAGAGGCCAGTGTTGCTTAAAATGATCCAGTCCTAGTGAGACTCCACCCTCTTTTCAAACACACTATTATTTTCTCACTAAAAACTGAGTTATTTTATTAACTAACACAAATTGTAACTTTAAAAGCTGGAGATAATTGCATTGTATCATGCCAATTCTATCAGAAACATGCCAGCATTGTAATATGAGGCCATAAACCTTTTCTGCTGAATTGTAAAACAGACAATCTTGATAAAGACACTCCTCAGAAGTGATAAAGGTTCACAAACAGGGTGATAAAAATAGTTATTTTACATGGAATGATAAATTGTACCTCAAGGAAACATAAAAGTACAACTAAAGGTGTAAAATTGTACTGCAGACAAGATATTTGGTAAATAGAATAGTAACTCCTTTTTTTCCTAGAGCATAAATGTCCAATAGTATTTTACAACTGACATTAGTGCAAAATACAAAAAATTAAACCATGCTTTGAGGTTCCTAGACAAATTAATATGCAACATACATTTCATACTACATACATAGTTAAAGTAATATTAAGGTAATATTACATAGCTATTTTAATATAATACAGGAAGTGCACTCTAATTTATTAAAATACATTTTTAAAAATTAGGATAAAATTTGGAGCAACAAAGTCAGAGATTAAGAATAATTATAAATGTACTGTTATGTAATTAATGCCAAACATTAATCAATAAATCCGAAATTAGAATAATACAAATCAAATTCAACCAATAACAAAATCCATCTTTGCACTGCGGAGTTGGCACACACCTCCTTGGAACAAATGTCACACAGCCCAATCATTTCACAATCAAGGGAAAAGCTTGTCACTGCTTCAAAATGCTAGGACACATTTATCATTACTTACAGTTAAGGTCAAAAGTTCAGAATCTGCAAAATGTTAATTATTTTACCAAAATAAGAGGGATCATACAAAATGCATGTTATTGAGTATTTAGTACTGACCTGAATAAGATATTTCACATAAAAGATGTTTACATATTCCACAAGAGAAAATAATAGTTGAATTTATAAAAATGACCCCATTGATTCTTAATACTGTGTTCTTACCTGAATGATCGACAGTTTTTTGTTGTTGTTTTTTTTGTGATAATTGTTCATGAGTCCCTTGTTTGTCACGAACAGTTAGTCAAGGCAAGTCATTTTTATTTATATAGCGCTTTTAACCATACAGATTGTCAAAGCAACTGAACAGCATTAATTAGGAAAATAGTGTCAATAATGCAAAATGACAATAGTAAACACTCATTTTTCAGTTAAAGGCTGTTTATCATTGAATTCAGTGATGTCGTCATCCAGCTCAGTTCAGTTTAACTTTATTCTTCTGTGCAATAAAGTCAACGATATATCGCAGGAAGTGAAGTGTCCCCAACTAAGCAAGCCAGAGGCGACAGCGGCAAGGAACCAAAACTCCATTGGTGACAGAATGGAGAAAAAAACCTTGGGAGAAACCAGGCTCAGTCGGTGGACCAGTTCTCCTCTGGCCAGACAAAACCAGCAGTTCAATTTCAGGCTGCAGCAAAGTCACATTGTGCAGAGGACTCATCTGGTTCCTGTGGTCTTGTTCCGGTGGTCATCTGAGACAAGGTCTTTACAGGGGATCTGTATCTGGGGCTCATCTAGTTGTCCTGGTCTCCGCTGTCTTTCAGGGCTGTAGAGGTCCTTTCTAGGTGCTGATCCACCATCTGGTCTGAATACGTACTGGATCTGGGTGACTGCAGTGACCATCTGATCTGGATACAGACTGGATCTGGTGGCTACGGTGACCTCAAAATAAGAGAGAAACAGACTAATATTAGCGTCAATGCCATTCTTCTAACAATGTAGCAAGTACATCGGGTGTTATGAGAAGTGTTCCCGGTTCCGGTTGACCTAATTAATGCAGCCTAAAAATCCTTTAACGGATTTGAATATTATAAGCGTATTAGTGTGTTATGTGTAAGCCAGGTTAAAGAGATGGGTCTTTAATCTAGATTTAAACTGCAAGAGTGTGTCTGCCTCCCGAACAATTTTAGGTAGGTTATTCCAGAGTTTGGGCACTAAATAGAAAAAGGATCTGCCACCCGCAATTGATTTTGATATTCTGGGTATTTTCAAATGGCCAGAGTTTTGAGAACGCAGCGGATGTGGAGGACTATAATGTATCAAGAGCTTGTTCAAATACTGAGGTGCTAAACCATTCAGGGCTTTATAAGTGATAAGCAAGATTTTACGATGTTTAATAGGTAGCCAGTGCTGTGTTGACAGAACCGGGCTAAAATGGTCATACTTCCTGGTTCTAGTAAGAACTCTAGCTGCTGCATTTTGGACCAGCTGGATTATTAAGACCAGCATTTTATTAAGCGTGCAGAACAACCACCCAGTAAAGCATTACAATAATCTAACCTTGAGGTCATAAACGCATGGATTAACATTTCTGCATTTGACATTGAGAGAATAGGTCGTAATTTAGATATATTTTTGAGATGGAAAAATGCAGTTTTACAAATGCTAGAAACATGGCTTTCTAAGGAAAGATTGCTAAGACTTGATGAGCAGCCATCAAGTCTTAGAGAGTGTTCTAGGTTATTATGTGCAGAGTTT